ATGTACATATTGGTAAGAGACTCTTATTTCAACTTCAATTCCAAAAAATGGAGAGTATTTTAATTGTTTACTCCAAAAATATTTAACTTTTTTAAGTGAAATTCATATTTAAATATCAATGGAACAATAAATAACTACGTCAATAATTTCTTCTTTTTTTGGAAGTGATTTTAGGATTTCACCTGTTTTTTTTAAAAATAATTCTTTATTTTGGTATCATTTGATTGAAAGTTTGACAAGTCTAAAATATCTATTTATTTGTGTCATTCTCTGATATTTTAGCTTGGTTTCTAGTATAATTGCCCTCTATTAGAAAATTATTCTCACAAATTTTAAGTAGCAACTGAATTTTTATTTTAGTTTTATAGAAGAGTGGAAGTTTATTTATTAAATTAATTTATAATCTTAAAATTCATGAACATTGTAGTTTTTGGGTATGGAATGATAATAATATCATATAAGTGAAGTTCTTCGCAGTTCTGTGGTTGGTAAAAGATTAATGGATTATATAGTTATAAAAATAATTAATTATGTTTATTACATCTAAACAAAGTGCAATATCTTGATTTTTTAGCGTCAAATTATTGGTAAAAGAAAATACTAAAAAATATTGTTCATGATTCTATCATGTCTTTATAATTCTTTTAATATTCTATACAAAAAATTGTCTGAAACATTCAATTATTTCTCGTCAAAAGAAGATTTCCTTAAAAGAAATCTAAAAGGACCATGATACGTTTGTGTCAATACGAGATGGTATTAAAAGGCCTAGGCACGTTACAATATAACTAGACAAATTGTGTGAGAATCATGAAAAAATCAATGTTATCAGTTCAAAAGAGTTCAATGCTAGCTAGCTCATGAGCCTACTGCGAGAAGGGAAAAGCGAGGCAAAAGAGAAGGATGGGGGGAAATACAATATGGTCAATCATCTCATAATGACAAGTCCTTTACGAGAAGACCAACTTGATCAGGTCTAAAGGGCTCTTGTTGTGAGTGAATCGTAAAGGCTCCTTAACTATAAATAAGTTAAAGCATAGCATTTTGAACTTTGAAGTAGGTTTGGACTAGAAAAACAAGAATGAACCCTACATATTATATTAATGTATGTTGTTTATGATAATCTTGAGTAATTACAATTTATTTATGCTAGCCGTAATTCTAAAACTATAGTTATATCAAAGTGGTAAAAGTTAGAATTAAGCTACGAAAAAGAATTCACCACTCGTAACTCATTTATTATTATTATTATATATATATATGATAGTTTTTTCACGTGTCTTGCATGTGTAACATGCAAATAGTATATAAAGTATGAATTATATTAAAATTAAAGTGCAATGAGTAATATCAAATTTAATGTGGAAAAAATACAATCTAAAATTAATGTACACTTAATTGTTGAGTGACAAGTGATTAGATATTCTCTAGATCTTCAAATTTGAACAATGCCCGTTTGGATTGGCTTAAACGGGTAGTTTTTAAGTTAAAAATAAAAAGTCAAATTGAAATGATTTTTAAGCCAGGAATAAAAAGTAGGGGGAGACCTACTTTTGATTTTTGACTTATTTTAAGTCATTTTAAACTTATTTTAAGTCATTTTTGACCTTGCCAAACACTTATTAACTTATTTTAAGTCATTTTGACTTCTTTTTTTTATATTTGTCAAATACATCCAGAAATCAAAAACTGACTTAAAAGTAGGTTTGATCAACTCTTAAGCCAATTCAAAAAACACTTTTTTGTAAATAATATTCTCTATTTATGTTCCACTTCGGTGATCAGAATGACCAAATATTAACATTTTTTTGTGATTTAATTGAGAAAATGAGCTACTTTAGTTAACCATACGTATGATTAAGTGTAGAGCTACTACTAATTTTGTGAACCAATAATCTAAGTAACTAAATGATGAAAAGGATTATAACAGTAAATTAAGTTTAGTGAGAAAATCCAACTTCACCCATTCAAGAAGGCTGTCAAAAGGCAAAAGTCTAGGCAAGAGAGAAGAACAAGAAAAAATATATAATTGGTCAACCATGATAATATTATGAAAAACTCACCTAGGTTGGTCAATGAACCTTGCAATGACAAGCCCATCACAAGAAGGTCAACATGGTCAACCCCAAGGATTCTCATCGATAGCGAGTTATAAGGGCTTTCTAACTATAAATAAATAAGAAAAAGACAGAGATAGAAATAGAAAAAGAATAAAGTTAGTGCAATATTTTTTTTTTGAATTTTGAAGGAGGTTTGAACCAAGAAGGCAAAAATGAACCCTACTAATTGATGTGTGTGGTTTATAATAATTTGAAGTAGTTACAATTCATTCATATAAACCCTAATCCTGAACTCTACCTTTTCCTAAAATTCACAATTCTCCTCTAAATCTATCAAAGTGATAAAAGTTATAATTAAACTTCAAAAAAAGTATCTAATACTTGTAAATCATTTATTGCGTACAAATGTATATAATTATGTATGTACGAATTTCTAACACATACATTGTATATGTGTCCCTTGCAAATAGTATATACAATATGAATTATATATAAATTAAAGTGCAGTAAGTAACATAAATTTTTTTTTTTTAAAAAAAAAAATGAAATCAATAAACGTTTAATTGATGAGCGACAAATAATTAGATATTATCCAGACCTACAAAGTTAAACAACTAACACACATTCGTAAACAACTAACACGTACATTCTTATAAATGATATTCTTGATTTATGTTCCGCTTTAATGATCCTGTTGCTCTATCATGACCAAACACTATTACTTTTTTTTTTCCTGTCATTTTAACAAAATGAATGATTTAAGCATAAAGTGTGTAGAACTCTTATTTATTTTGTGATGCAATAATCCAAGTAACTAAATTAAAATGGTGATTGTAACACTAAATTAACTCTAGATAGCAAATATTGAATGTGATAACTACACTAAATAATAAGCGTTACAGTCAAATAAAAAATCAATTGGTGTGCTCTCCATTCACAACTTATATATACATCTACAATAAGGTAAAAGATCTTGCTAAAAGTATTTGGTGCAAATATTATATGATTCACTCTAATTTTCTCGTAAATACTTGTATTGACTTTTTTCGAAAGGTATGTAAAATTATTGATAAAGAGCACTTTACCCTAAATGGGATTCTACGCTATACGAATCCAGATTAGTCGGACTCTAATGTAGATACGGAATAAGAAACGAAAAAAGATTTTTTCCAAAGGATGAGCTACATAGCTAATCAAACTGAGGCTTCTGCTGCATACACTTACTTTAATGAAGATATTAGCAATGAGCTTACTGGTAATAACTTAGATTTTTACCAGCTAGAATTAACATTATTTCCATAAACTAACTAAAACAATAATAGCTAATCATGACATTGTAAGATGTTAAGTAGTTACTATCCATTCAAATTATGAGAAGTTAATTTTTTATATCATCAAAATCACAATATATGATGTGAAATGTATACATAAATAGACATGAAGCAATGTTTTTGCAGTTACAAGAACATCCTGTGGGTGATGAAAACTCCTAATCTTATCGGCATTCTTCATGTGAATCTGCATCAAAGTACCTGAAACCAGAAGGAAAGGAATAAGTAAAAGATAAAAATGTCACAAAAAACAAGATCTTTCTTGTCTAAAAACGCGGTATTTGTGATGTTTTTTTTCAGTATAAAAAGTTCCGTTGCAATATAGTAGTGTTAATGAAACTTATAGCAGTAATAATTTGGTTAAGTGGTTTAAAGCTATGGAGGAGGAAATTGCTATGTGCTAGAATGAAATCAAACATGGAAGCTCGTGACAAATCCAAAGGATGTAAAACCTATTTCTAGTATACAAGATAAAGCATCACACAGATGGATCAATTGAAGGGTACAAGTCTTGTAGCTTGGGGGTTTTCTCAGCATTATGCATATGGACTAGACTACGATGAAACGTTTAGTCCAGTGGCAAGAGTCCTACTTGCACTTGCAGCTAGTAAGAATTGGAACCTGTGAAAAATGGATGTGAAAAAATGCATTTCTGCATGAAGAGTTGGATATAATGAGATCTACCATGTCAAGATCACCCCGAGCATGTGTGTGAGCTTCGAAAGGCACTCTATGGATTAAATCATGGTATGGTAATGAAGTATTTGCATCAGCCAATGAAGTATTCAATTCCATTGTATTGTGACAACCAGTGTTTCACGCTAGGACTAAGCATGTGGAGGTACATTACCAAATTCTTCGTGAAAAAGTTCTTGAAGAAGAAATGGAAATAGTGCAGGTCAAAACAGAAAATCAAGTTGCCGATATATTAACAAAACGCTCGACCAGCAGTTAGCTTGGAAACTTCTGTCGTTCTAGGCGTCATTAAAAGGAAAGAAGCAAGAGTTGAGGGAGACTGTTAAAACACCTACTCCAGCTCCTTGTATTTAATTTAATGTTAGACAGTAGAGTCTTTAGTTGTTAGTTAAATTTTTTCCTGTTGCTTAGTCAATTACTTAGTCAGTTACTTAGTCAATTACTTAGTCAATTACTTAGTCAGTTACTTTTTCCTCAGAATATAATACCACTATTATTCTTAGTGCCCAGTGGAAGTTATTCCTATTCTTATGCTTAGGTTTATTGTGTTAGTAACCAAGTATGATGACTGTATAAAAGGCCATCATTTACCTTGAATGTATGTTACTCCCAAGTTAATTCATTAGCATATGAAAAGCTTCACAGATTGTTGTGTCTTGGGTATTCAACAAATACATCATTTAGAATTTTCAGAAAAAATGCTTAGTGATGGTATGATAATGTACCTGTAATGAAGAATGGCTTCAAAATTCCTCTAACAGGTGTTCTCGCAACCCAAAAATTACTCCAACTGATCTGATAAGAAAGAGATAAAGCATTTGAGCCATTTTTCAAAGACAGGCAGTAAACAAAATACACTAAAAATGTCTGATTGCTTCATGTACCAGCAAACCAAAAGAAAGCACATACTAACCTAACTGCTTGGTTTTGGAGATTCAAGGCCTGTATTAGGCGGCACCACACGTGGTGCATGAGAGAGCTTTTCAAAAATATGACGGAGGCCCTCATGCTCAACCATGGATTCTAGTATGTTATCCTCTGACACAGAACATGAAGGATCCATCTTGGCTTCATGATCCCTAGACAAAAGAACATCTGAATGGTACTTTTTTCTCGTCTGCTGTTCAATCTTGTCAACCTCCCATTTTGATGTTACTGGACAGTAAACGTGCACAAATTTGGTCTGCCCATTCCTGTAAGCTCGACTGATGGCTTGCTGTTCTACTGAGGGATTCCAGAGAACGTCAAGCAAAACCACTCTTGAGGCCCCTATCAGACTTATTCCTTCTGAACAGGCTTTTATGGATGCAAGAAGCACTTTTACATCACTCTTAGGGTCATTAAGAGAATTTATAGATATCTGCCGCTGCTTCACATCAAGTTTCCCATCCATATAGAGAATCTCCCGACCTAAAGTCCAGCCAAAGAGAGAATTGAGTTGCTCCTTGATCAGGTTTAGAGGATCAAGTAACTGGCTAAATATTATAACCCTCTCCTTCCGCCCACCGCAAAGTCTGATAAGCTCAACAACAAATTTCATTTTTACTCCGGTATCTGGATCCAACCGACAGCCTCTTTCTGTTAGCTGACTTTCTAAGTCAGAGAACTCCTTCCTCTTGGCCACTAATGAAGGATGAACAGAGATAAGAGACACCAGATTTTGTTCATAAAAGGAGCTTGGATTCTCTGGAATCCTTCTAAGCAACTCCTTCTGCAAATCTGTGGGTTTCAAGTGAATTACAGTGTCCCTTATACCCGGAAGGCTTACCTTCTTTACATTTTCACTACACTTATGGACAAGTGGTGAAATAATATCCCTAAGCTCTTCCAATGCTCGGGCATTCTTGTCAATGGAACTGCTAAGAGAAACCCATTTCTGCTCCAAATCTGCAGCAAACTTTGGACTGACTACACAAAGAGTGTTGTATAACTCCTTGATGTTATTCTGGAAAGGAGTTCCAGACAAAACTATGCGCTTCTCTGTTTCAACCTTTTTCAAAGCTTTCCAGACAAGGCTTTGCTCATTCCGAGCAGTGTGCCCTTCTTCAAGGACCAGAAGACCAGGATATTTAAGAAGGATTTCTCTAATCGGTTTAGCGTAACCGTCTCCATCATCTCCAGTAAGAATCCTGAACAAGTCATAGCTGATCCCCAAAACACTCTTACCTTTAACCCAGGATCCCAGCTTCACCATTCGTATAAGGTGTGGATTTCTCTTTCCAGCATGGGATAAACAGCGAAAGACACTCACAGTAGCTTCATCTTCCTGTAAAGAGAAATCTTTGCTGTTCAAGTTGTGGAAGGGAATGTCCACCTCCCATTTCTGGAACTCAGCTTCCCAGTTAAGCAGCAAACTGGAAGGAGCTATGATTACAGGTCGAGACTTTGGAAACAGCTTCAAATATGACTGAAGAAATACTATGGTGAGACGGGTTTTCCCGGTGCCAGGTGGATGTGAGATTATGCATCCTCCTTTGCTATCAGATAGGGGCTGTCTCAGCCTTTCGAGATTTATATCTCCAGCAACGTTTTTCCACATAAACTCAAATCCACCACGTTGATGAGGATACATTGTTGATTTGGCACTTGGGGGAACTAAATCCCACACAGTTCCTTCTTCATTAATCATAGAATCTTGGACTGCAGAAGAATCAGAAAATCTGAAGCCACCAACATCCAAGAGTGATGGCGACTGTCCTAAATGTTTTCTTTCATACCTCCCTCGAGTTCTCTGAGCCTGCAGATGACAGAAGTTTAAGAATTTAAGAGTCAAGCAAAAATAAATTGGAGAGCCAGTTTATAAAATCAAATATAAGGCTAGCATGTTGAATGAAGTAACACATACTAGAGGAGTAAAGTAGTAAAATCACTAGTTAGTTACTGGGAGCAAATCCAATGACAAACTCAAGTAACTATAAAGTTCGCTATGTATTGCAGACAGGTGAAAGTGCAGCATACAACGTGGAATTTCAGCATACAATGTGATTCCCAAAGATAGTTCAGGAAAGGAGGCTTCTCATGCTGAATGTTCACAGAGGGCACAACCAGCGTTTGACTATGGTATCAACACAAATGTGAATGATCAGCGTAAAAATGCAGGCAGCATGGAGCAAGTTCAAACCCAACTAAGTCATGTTGAGGCTAGACTTTTCACACAAGAGCAGTATAATCACATAGTGCAGCTGCTGACACAACACACTCCTCAGATCAACAATGATCCTACCTCTTAACACATCTGCAAATGTGACAGGTATGATTGAACCTATGGCTATGATTGTCTCTCACAATCCTGATTAGATTGCGGACAAAAGGGCAACGAAGGGAATGTCCACCTCCCATTTCTGGAACTCAGCTTCCCAGTTAAGCAGCAAACTGGAAGGAGCTATGATTACAGGTCGAGACTTTGGAAACAGCTTCAAATATGACTGAAGAAATACTATGGTGAGACGGGTTTTCCCGGTGCCAGGTGGATGTGAGATTATGCATCCTCCTTTGCTATCAGATAGGGGCTGTCTCAGCCTTTCGAGATTTATATCTCCAGCAACGTTTTTCCACATAAACTCAAATCCACCACGTTGATGAGGATACATTGTTGATTTGGCACTTGGGGGAACTAAATCCCACACAGTTCCTTCTTCATTAATCATAGAATCTTGGACTGCAGAAGAATCAGAAAATCTGAAGCCACCAACATCCAAGAGTGATGGCGACTGTCCTAAATGTTTTCTTTCATACCTCCCTCGAGTTCTCTGAGCCTGCAGATGACAGAAGTTTAAGAATTTAAGAGTCAAGCAAAAATAAATTGGAGAGCCAGTTTATAAAATCAAATATAAGGCTAGCATGTTGAATGAAGTAACACATACTAGAGGAGTAAAGTAGTAAAATCACTAGTTAGTTACTGGGAGCAAATCCAATGACAAACTCAAGTAACTATAAAGTTCGCTATGTATTGCAGACAGGTGAAAGTGCAGCATACAACGTGGAATTTCAGCATACAATGTGATTCCCAAAGATAGTTCAAGAAAGGAGGCGTGAAACGATATGGCTTCAGACTTGAATTTACTAAATAAATCCTCAATTAATAAACTGAGCAATCCTAAGTGAGTGCAACTGCCTAATGGAGATGTGGCACAGGTTACGCACACTGGATCAAGTACTATATCTGATGAGAGTACTATATCCAATGTGTTGTATATCCCACAGGTTAAGTTCAATTTACTTTCTGTTTCAAAACTAACAAGAGAGTTGCAATGTTTTGTTTCCTTCTTTCCTGACTTCTTTGTTTTTCCGGATCTCTTCACTGGGAAGGTGAAGGAGATTGGTAAAGAGGACTATGGACTATATTGGTGACTGAGTCAAGCTTCAGGAAAACCTATTAGCTTAGCTGCTCAAGAATCTAATGGTGTATCAAACATCAAACTGGAACATTAGTCTTTGGCACAAAAGACTAGGACACACTTCAACTTCAGTGCTTAGTAAACTGTTTGCTACTGATATCACTACTATTAGAAGTAAAATAAATGCACATAGGAACAAACTTTACAGACGAGTCCAATTTGTTCATCTAGAACAAGTTGGTGGTTTCCCATCTGACAGTTACTTAAATCTCCACTCTGCATCGGCGAAACGGATGGATTTGTAAAGCCAATATCTGACTCTAAGATACACATCTGCATTTCAGCAAAAAGATTTTCAACTTCCTTTTCCCATTCTTCTTTCTCAGGGGGAGGAGGTTCATCCTCGTCTTCAAACCGAAATACTAAAGGAAGTGTTTCCTTGACAGGAACCTGTTCCTTCTCTTCAAAAGGAGTAAGTTTATCATGATCATCAACATTTATGATAGAATCAACAACAAACTTCATAAATTCAGAATCTTCAAGAATCTTCTTTCCAGTCCTCCTATCCTTTCGAACAACATCCTTTTGAACAACATTCTTCACCGAGTCATCAACCTCGCATTCCTCTTCAGATTTAGACTCCTCGCCATCAGACCCCACCTCATCAAACTCCTCCTCATCAGTAAGAAGAATTGGGCTACTACTATCATTTCCATTGTTTAACTTCTTCTTTTTGGACATAGAAAGTGAACGTGCACGAAGAAGATATGCTCCGCCTTTCTTCTGCTTTTTACTCTCAACAACAAGCTCAGGTACTAACCCCTCATTCGACTCTTTTTCTCCTTCTTCATTCTTTTCATCTTCTGATTCCGTATCATCAAAATCACTTATTACATCATCATATTGGCTAGAACTTGATGACTCAATCAACCTGTAATTCTTATCTTCAGGGTCATCATTATCCTCATCACTTGAAGCTTCGGAATCCGACTCAGACTCAGAAGATGAGGTGCTATCAGTATACACTTCCACTGATTTCACCGGTGTCCTACCACACATGCTTGAGGTAGATGAAACAACCTCCTGATCTTTTGCATTCAACATATTACTCTTTAAGCCCGTATTCGACCACCAACCTGAACCTGATTCATTATTTACACCCTCCTCCTCTTCAATGATATCAACATCATCAGAATCATCCTCCGAATCATCCGTAACATCATCATCAGGTATTTCCTCGACGAAAATCCGTTCCATGATAGACTCACAAGTTCCTGGACTGAACTTGCTCCTCCTCCCATTATCCACTTTCTTTTTCCCTTTTCTTAATTTTCTTGCATCTTCTGACCATTTTCCCATTTTTCTCTTATCACCTTCAGAAACTGCCATTTTTCTTTTCCTCCCACAACTCACACCCTCTTTTCCAATATTCACAGAACAAGGCGAAGAAGACGGAGTAAGATTACCATTTTGACAAGACCTGTTCCTTTTCTCTGTAAAATCAGCACAATATTTCAAAAACTGTTGTCTAGTTCTCCTCTGTTTTGGACCAGAGCCATCCCCTGAGTCCATCTTTCAGCACCTGAGTTCAAAAAATACACAATTTTCTTGATCAAAAATCAAAATGCACAAAAGAGAAGAGTCACATGCATAATAAACACATTCTTCACCAGAAACACTAACCTGAATAAAGAGGAAAAAATACCAGAGGTTTGAATTCTTGAAACTGTAAGAAAACAGGAGTAACAGGGTCAGGGGGACTGAAGACTTCGAAACTTTTGAATGTTTAGCACTAATATAGAATGAGATACAGAAAGAGAAGTGAAAGCTGATTGAGAACACCCTTTTATGGAAGATTATTACTTGCCTGAGACAGAGGGTGTTTTTTTGGTTTTGCTAAGGAAGAGAAACCAGAAAAGAGAGGGAAAATATATACCATCTCCTCCTCCGTCTCAATTTATATGATATAGTTTGACTAGATATGAAATTGAAGAATTTAAGTTAGTTTGACTAGATCCAAAATTTAAGAATAAAACATTTTTAAAATTTATGTCTAAATTATGGACTATAAATCTATCTCATTAAAAATGTATAGATATTCATGCCGTTCCAATTTATATAAGTTAGTTTGACTAGATACAGAATTTAAGAATAAAAGATTTTTAAAATTTATGTCTAAAATTATGGACTAGAAATCTATCTCATTAAAAATGTATAGATATTCATGCTGTTCCAATTAATATAAGTTAGTTTTACTAGATACACAATTTAAGAATAAAAGATTTTTAAAATTTATGTCTAAATTATGTTATCAATGTTTATGTGACTATAAATCTATCTCATTAAAAAGGTATAGATACTCTATTATAATTTAATTGAGTTAGTTTGACTGGAAACAAAATTTATGAATAAAAGATTTTTGAAATCTATGATGTATATTACATTAGTAATGTTTGTGCGGTTATAAATTATCTAGGTATAGAATTGTGTTTGTTTTAATGTGAATTAAAAAGAAATTGAGTCGTATAAATTAGAAGAGTGGTAAGTATTTAAAAGAGAGTTAAATATTGAAACGGACTATCATTTAAGGTAGGGAAAATGGCCTGATATACCCTTCAACCTTGCCATTTGGAGCTGATATGCCTCTTGTTATGAAAGTGACTCATATATACCCTTACCGAGTTACCGTTATACAAACGGCTCACATATACCCCTACCGTTACAAAATGAGCTCACATATACCCTTCATTTAACGGAAGTGAAAAAATTAGTTTTAAATTTATATCTTTGACTTTTAAATTTTTTTAAATCATTAAGGGATGGTATATATGATTCTTATAGCAAAGATTAAGGTATTTTTTAATCTTTTTCGTAAATAAATTATTTTTGACTTCTTTGATTATCATTATTTGGGTTTCTTATTCTTATTTTATTTTTTTCTTTCATTCCTTAGTGTAAAGAAAAAAATTGAACTATTTTTTTTGTCTATATTGTAATTTAATTTTTGTATTTGAAGAAAAAATTTGGTCATCTATATAAGTTTTACAAGAATATTAGTGAAACATAAATAAATGTGACCATCAAAATAATAAATCTAAATTAGTCATTGAAACAAAAAAAAGTCAAAAAAAAGTTTTTCTAAAAAAGATTTGAGGAAGGATTAAATATATCCATATGTGATTATATTATTTTTTTTTAAAAAAGAAAAAAACACTAAAATTAATTTTTTCCATTTCCGTTAGAAGAAAAGGGTATATGTGAGTCATTTGTATATAAGTAGGAGTGTATATGAACCACTTTCATAACGAGGGATATATCAGCTCTAAATGACAAAGTCGAGGGATATATTAGACCCTTTTCCCTTTAAGGTAAGTATAGGAGAAAGAGGAAAGGGATTGGCTTTGGTTTTTTGTTAGTTATAATGGAACATTTATTGTTTTTACAGCTGTATATTTAAAAATAATAATAATGGGAGGTGAATTTATCAACCTAATTAGTAATTAAAGTATAATCATATTTCGTAAGTTACAGAGTAGCTAAATCATTTTTGGTAGGTGATATTAACAACGAAACTATTTTTTAAAAAAAAAACTCAACTCAGATATGTGATAGCTTTTTCACGTGTGTTGCATGTGTTCCATGCAAATAGTATATAAAGTATGAATTATATTAAAATTAAAGTGTAATGAATAATATCAAATTTAATGTGGAAAAAATACAATCTAAAATTAATGTACAATTAATTGTTGAGCCACAAGTGATTAGATATTCTCTCGATCTTCAAATTTGAACAATTAACTAACACTTTAATAAATAGTATTTTCTATTTATGTTCCACTTCGATGATCGGATTGCTAGACCATTAATTCATATTTTTTGTGATTTAATTGAGAAAATGAGCAACTTTAGTTAACCATATGATTAAGTGTAGAACTACTACTAATTTTGTGAACAAATAATCCAAGTAACTAAACCAAAAGTATTATAACAATATATTAAGTCTAGTGAGAAAATGTAACATCTCGCAATTTGAAATAGCTAGGAAGAAGCTAAGAACTTGAAATAATCGTTTTTGGAAATAGTGACAAATCTGGAATATTGTTAAGTTAGGAAAAGTGAGTTTTTGGTCAACTTCAAACGGCCATAACTCCTAGCTCAGGATGAGTTAGGTGTACTTCCAGGTATGGTTGGAATGATCTTTCCAACGCCGCCGATTTTGCATCATTCCCAGTTCGTATGAGTAAGTATGTCCTTTGGAAGTTGGGCTATTGGATTAAGAAAAGTCTAATCCGGGTTTGGAAGGGTAATTTAGTCTTTTCCTTACCTAATTACTCTAATTCGTTCTTAGGAGATTTGTTGGGGTAAAACCAGATTTTGGTTAGTTTAGAAAAATTAGAATTTTCACGCTAGCTTGGAGAAAAGAGAAAAGAGAAGAAAGGAGAAGAGAAATCAAGAATCGCCAAGATCGTCGAAGTTTGGCTTGTGGAATTCGTCGGGGGTGATCCCTACAAGGTATGTGAGATCACATAGTGTTGGGTTAGTTCACCCACACGCCAATCTTGTTTCAATTAAGCAAATTAAGGTTATTTGAATGCAAAGAAAGTGAGTTCTTGAAGAACATTGTTGAAAATTCATTGAGTTCTTGATGGTTGTGTTGTTGAAAGTTTCTAGTTGATTTGATTCGTGTTTCCGGGTGAATTTTCGAGTTAAAATCTGTTGTATGTTGAGGGTAATATGATCCTAAGTGTTTGGGGAAATAACCATTGAGGTTTAGAGGGTTTAGAGTTGAAAAACGGAGAAGAAAAATAGTCAAAAACCTAGGGAAGGGGGTGGGGAGTTGTGCCAGCCAGCGCGCCCCAAAAAGGGCTTTGAAGTTCACCCCTTGGGGCGACGCGCCAGCCAACGCGCCCCAGCAGGTCCTCTGAAGTTTAAGGGTTGGCGCCCTGTGCCTCTCATAGCGCCAGGGACGCCAGTTCTCCCCATTCGTTTCCCCCATTTTAGTACTTGTTCCTTAGCAATGTACCTATGTTTTCTAGTTGATTCCAACACTCTAAGGTACATCTAAACATCATGAAATCATCCATAAACATGAGATCATGAACCTTGAATCCATAATCCAATTCAAGGAAAGTTAGGATCAAAGCTAATAGAAGTTAAGAGTCAAGTCTAGAAGTTAAGAAGCAAGTCAAAGCTAAGTTCTAAGGTTTTCAAGAGTCTTTAACAAACCTTTTAAACTTTGTTTTAAGACTAAAGTTTCAAAGTTAAGCAAAGAGTAAAAAGTTGAGTTCATTTCTCAAAAAACTATTAGGGAACTAAGTATTCCCAAAGAGTTTATTAATGTTTTCACATTTGAGCAAGAAAAGGAGTAAGTTTATCATGATCATCAACATTTATGATAGAATCAACAACAAACTTCATAAATTCAGAATCTTCAAGAATCTTCTTTCCAGTCCTCCTATCCTTTCGAACAACATCCTTTTGAACAACATTCTTCACCGAGTCATCAACCTCGCATTCCTCTTCAGATTTAGACTCCTCGCCATCAGACCCCACCCCCGAGTCATCAAACTCCTCCTCATCAGTAAGAAGAATTGGGCTACTACTATCATTTCCATTGTTTAATTTCTTTTTTTTCGACTTAGAAAGTGAACGTGCACGAAGAACATTTGCTCCGCCTTTCTTCTGCTTTTCACTCTCAACAACAAGCTCAGGTACTAACCCCTCATTCGACTCTTTTTCTCCTTCTTCATTCTTTTCATCTTCTGATTCCGTATCATCAAAATCACTTATTACATCATCATATTGGCTAGAACTTGATGACTCAATCAACCTGTAATTCTTATCTTCAGGGTCATCATTATCCTCATCACTTGAAGCTTTGGAATCCGACTCAAACTCAGACTCAGAAGATGAGGTGCTATCAGTATACACTTCCACCGATTTCACCGGTGTCCTACCACACATGCTTGAGGTAGATGAAACAACCTCCTGATCTTTTGCATTCAACATATTACTCTTTAAGCCCGTATTCGACCACCATCCTGAACCTGATTCATTATTTACACCCTCCTCCTCTTCAATGATATCAACATCATCAGAATCATCCTCCGAATCATCCGTAACATCATCATCAGGTATTTCCTCGACGAAAATCCGTTCCATGATAGACTCACAAGTTCCTGGACTGAACTTGCTCCTCCTCCCATTATCCACTTTCTTTTTCCCTTTTCTTAATTTTCTTGCATCTTCTGACCATTTTCCCATTTTTCTCTTATCACCTTCAGAAACTGCCATTTTTCTTTTCCTCCCACAACTCACACCCTCTTTTCCAATATTCACAGAACAAGTCGAAGAAGACGGAGTAAGATTACCATTTTGACAAGACCTGTTCCTTTTCTCAGTAAAATCAACACAACATTTCAAAAACTGTTGTCTAGTTCTCCTCTGTTTTGGACCAGAGCCATCCCCTGAATCCATCAAATCAAAATGCACAAAAGAGAAGAGTCACATGCATATTAAACACATTCTTCACAAGAAACACTAACCTGAATAAAGAGGAAAAAAAACCAGAG